TTTTAATAAAAGAAAAATACATATACAAATCCTCTATGAGATTTTCTGCTATGAACTGTCACAGGCATGATAGATGGACCCCAGGAATTGTTTCTATTCTAGTTGACCCCAAAATATAGTGAAAAACTCAACACTTCCTGCTTGAGTTATTTTCCTTAGAAATTGACATCAAAATGCTTATAGGCTGTTTCTGACCTGAAATTTGTTCCTTTGGAAAATGTTTGCAACATTATTTTAAAGTTGTATATGAGCTTCAAAATGTACAAAAAACACAAATAGCCTCACATATTTCACAATTTAGTTAATCGATGAGTAATTATTTAGTAAATGTAGTAAATTCTAGCAGTTATAAAAACTGAGCTAATATTTTATGAGAAAGCATAATTATGAAGTAAGGGTAGCTATTAATCTAAATACATCTTTGAAAATTAGCTTGGCAATAAATTTTACCAAATAATTTAAAATCACTTTAATTTATATTTTTCTATGCATATATTAATAAAAGTGCCACGTAAACAAAGATACATTTACTAAGAAAAAGATCGTGAATATTAATGGTTCAGTATATCACAAACTTATTTATTCCTACGAAGTTTAGCTAAATATGTCCATTAAAATAGCTTTTGTAGAACCTTCGCTGTTGAAAAGATTCTGAGGGGGAAAGAAGCATTCAAGGCAACAAAAAGAAGAAATAAGAACTTTTTACATGCTTTTTTTCCTCCATAACTGGTGCCATGTACGTTTAGCCAACTCTACTACAAAGTCTACTAAATAAGAATGCAAAAAATAAAGACTGTGCATGAAGGTTTATGTCATTACAAGAATATCTTCCTGCAATGTACTTACTCTGAATATTTGGCTCCAAACTAAACTGACAAAATTATCTCTTGGGTCATATAAAACCATAATGAGATTATTGTATGGAAATAATGTCAACATATTTTATGACTTTGATCATATAGACCAGAAGTTGGCAAACTTTTTCTGTAAAGAGCCAGATACAAATTTTAAACAGGCACATGCCTGTAGTCCCAGCTATTTGGGAGGTGGAGGTGGGAAGATTCCTTGAGCCCAGGAGTTCGAGACTTTAGCGAATTATAATCACAACACTGCACTTCAGCCTCGGTCATAGAGTGAGACCCTGTCTCTAGAAATAAATAAAAAATTAAAGTAAAAAAGAAAAAAGAGACAGATAGTTAATATTTTAAGTTTTGTGGGCCACATACAGTCTCTCTGGCATAATCAGCTAAAAGCATAAAAAAAATCTTCTTAGCTTGAGATCTTTCAACAAGTGGTAGATTGGATTTGGTCCACAGGCTATCATTTGATTTCTGATAAAGATCACTAATAGCAATAACTATATCATAAAAATGATAGCAGAGTCATTTTAAAAGTTCAAGCCCTTTATTTCTACAGTCACTGAAATAGATCTTCCTCAAATAAAAATTCTGTTCCTATTTGGTATCACTCAGACCAGTGCCAAAGGCAAACCTTGGGACTTGGTTATCATCTGTCTGACAGGAAGTCGCTCCTCCAAATCACTCATTCAAATCCTCTTGCTCTGCAAGGAATAAGCCTTGAATCCTTTCTCATGTCTAACATGTCACAGTTCTTTCTCCCTTTTCTAACCCCTTTACATTTAGTGTATTCCACCTTTACACCACTTGGCACTTGTCAGTGATAGAATTCTTCATAAAAATAAAATGCTTTTAGTAAATAACTTAAAACCTCATGATATAATGTTTGTTAAAACGAAATTTCTTATATGTAAGATTGAAGTTACTTTTAAAGTAGAATGTAAGGTCCTTAAGGCCAAAGACTGTAACTTCTTTTTTGTGTGTGTGTTGATTCTGGAAGTGGTGGTGTTGAGTACTCTTAGGCCACTCATGGAGCTGATCTCACTCTGAACTCCATTACAGGTGAAGACCTCAAGGAAATTGGTCTCTTGTACAGCTGAAAGTGTTTGGGAAGCCAGAACAAAGTGAGAGGAAGACCTTAGAGTGGGTCAGCTTTTCACTAACGATAATATGCTATGCTTCTGTCTTGTAGAGTTCTTGCTGGGAATGGCTACCCAGTCAGGATCGGTATTTCCTTGCCTCTTATGCAGTTGGACAGTTGGACTACATGACTACTTCTTGCCAATCGAATGTGAGTAGAAATTATGTAAGCTACTTCCCGAACTGCCCCATAAAAATGTATCACTATCCTTCTGCCTCCCAGCTGTATGTCAGTACTCAAGGCATATTAAAAACCATGTCATTAAAGAGTCTGCCAGCTTAGATCCCTGAATAACTGTGTGGGACCGAGTCCTATGTCAACTGGATGTTAAGTGAGCAAGAAAAAAACTTATGTTAAGCCACTGAAGTTCATGGCTTATTTGTTTTAGCAATTAAGTTACCTTATTTAGAACAGAGGATCTCTCTGTTGTGATGAAGTGAAATGGACATTGTTGAACTGTCTGTTGGCATTCAGTTCTGCTATAGAGAAGTCCACAATCTAATTTACCCCCTTCCTCCAGACAAACTTCGGTTTTACTCAGCCACCCTAGAAATGATTATACTCATGACAATGTCAATATGAATATGCTAATCATGAGATTCCAAAATAAGCACTGTATAAGGCAAAGCATGCAAAATGTCCTTTTAAAGGTAAGATAAAAGGATACTCAAAAACAAAAAGCCTATTTCCCCTTTCTGGAATTTCTTTTTTTCCATCCCTCTAGATGCAATGCAGACTAGCCACCAGCAAAGATACTATCAAGATAAACCAGTTCAGTTAATATGATTACGTGTCCTTTGTGTATATCCTTGTCAACCTTTTAGAAGTTTAAAATCAAATCTTTCTGATTTCTTCCATTCAATTTAGTAGACCACAGTGAAACTCAAAACCTTAGAACAATAAACCTTTTCTTAGATACTAGGAATTTCAGTGGTGAGGAAATTTTGAGCCAGATCCATTGCAATTTAAAACTAAAATTTTTCTTGAAGTAGAGTATATTATGGAGAATAAAAGAGCTTTGAAACAGTTCTTTTAGGTATTCTGTTTTTTTATAAACTCCAAGATGTATAGAATTTTCAAGTTCCTCCTTAAAAATAACTCAGTTATTCTTCTTGCCCTGAGGATAAGGTCTGAACTTCAGAGGGTGATTTCTGTGTTTTTCTTGCTCAGGCTCTTGCTTTCCTCTCCACTCCATTCTCCAACCACTACGTATCTTGCATCCTATGCATCAGCCACTGTGAATACCTTTCCACTTCTCCAGTATGCGTTGCTCTCACTTTCCTCCAGCCTTTGCATTTGAAGTTCTCTCTACCAAGGTGCAGTACTCACCTTCTCCCTTTCTCCCCTTTTCCTTAGCTTACTTCTACTGAGTCTTTAGGTCTCATTAGAAGACACATCATAGCTTATTCTGACGGTCTTTCAAAACCAGGTTAGGGAAACTTCTTGTGTCTGTCATCAATACCTTGTTCTTGGCCAGAAGACTTAACACCTTATATTACAACTAAAGTTTAGTGGTCAGGGTCCATGTTTATATTGCGGTCTTTGTAAGGTCAGGATAAATCTTTTTAATGATGTGAGCACTAATGCCTCACATAGTGCATGGAACATAGCAGGTGCTCAGAAAATATTCATTGAACGTTGCTGAATCTAGAACAACCCTTATCTGACGTTGTGTTCTATCACAACCTATAGAAGAGGATGTTACTGACCCACCAACCAAAGTACACTTATCCTCAAGAATGAGAGTGGCCAAAAGTGTGGCACATAAGGTACAAGTTCTCCTTTGTATAGTAAATAATTATATTCAATGACCAACTTTATGACCTTGAACTCATTATGCTCAAGCTGACTGAAATAGGGTGTGTAAAATGATCAAAAAGAAAATAAACACAACTCACAAAATACACCCCCTTTCTGATATGGATCATTTAAGCTTGCAAGATCTCTTTCTTCTAATCTGAATATGTAGGGAAAATAATCCAGCAGCAGCAGCAGCAGCAGACCAGACCCTCCTCTTCTGTCCAACCATCAGGGCTCTGAAGCATACCTTCTGATTGGGGAGCTCCTCTTTGAACTGACATCTGACTTGCTCCAGAGTATTTCCAAGCTTATGTATTTTGCTCTCCCAAAGGTTGTCCTTGATATTAATCTCCCTGTTTACCTTTTAAGTGCAGTTTCATATTGCTAATCCACATTCAGGTCACAGGTCTCTGCTTCAGCCATACCCACCTCCATTATGGCAATGCTCTTGGCTGACTCAAGGCCTCAGAACTTAGTTCTCAGATACTAGGAGGATTTGGGGCAGTGAAGTATGAGGATGGGCTTAGTGGGAAGAGAGAATGTTTACATATTACAATTTATCTAGCATACAGGAAGACAGCAGAACCAGAGAGACTTTAAGAAACGGCAGCATAACAGTTGGGATTTCTCTCTTCCTTTTTTATTTTCTGAGTCAGGGTCTTGTTCTGTCACCCAGGCTGGAATGCAGTGGCACAATCACAGCTCACTGAAGCCTCTAACTCCTGGGCTCAGGTGATTCTTCTATCTCAGCCTCCCGAGTAGCTGGGACTACAGGCATGTGCCACCACGCTCAGCTATATATAAATATATATATATATATTTTTTTTTATAGTGATGAGGTCTCACTATGTTGTCCAGGCTGGTCTCAAACTCCTTGCTTCCAGCAATCCTCCTGTCTTGGCCTCCCAAAGTGGTAGGATTACAAGTGTGAGTCACCATGCCTGGTTGGAATTTTTCTTTGGCCACAGACTATGATGTAGAGACAGGAAAGTCCTTAACTCTACATTGCAGCATCCTCAGTTCACCAGTGCCTTCTCATTTACAGGGCTGGATGAAGAAGGCTTATATGAGGGGTGTTTGCCTGGTTAGTTGGCCACCAATTAATGTTGAGAGCCTTAAGTGTGACAATGGGAGATTCAATGCTTTTGTTTACACTGATGTTACATACACAAATGCTCAGCAACCCACGGCTGAGTTTTTACCTTGTGCAACTGATAATACTGGAGGGCACCAATTCCACCTTGTTCCTCTGCAGTCCAGAGTACCAGGCGCAGAGTCCTCTTTGGATGCAACCCTGGAAAAATAATAAAATAAAAAAGTAATACTTCAGTTAATTTTGAATTTTTTAAAAATGGCAAGGACCCTTGTCTACGTTGTGGAGGCAGGAGGGAATCAGAGGCACTCATGTCTTGCTGGTGTGGCCGACTGCTTCACTGATAGGAAATTGATCATCAAGTTCGGCCTCTTTATCTGAAAAGTGGAGACAATATTATAGGTCTATGTCATAACTCTTTCACGGGTGGCAGAGAGGATTAAATGAGATGTGTTAATGTACGTGAGACAACTTGGTGGCTGGCATGTAATTGACATTCAATAAGTGAACTAAAAACTACATAATGGATATCCAGGTGCAGAGCACCCACTTTCACCCGCTCAGAGGAGAGGGACATCTTAATGCCCAGAGAGGAAGTCATTCCAAACTCAGGGTGTTGCTGACACAGCAAAGGAGCAACTTCAGGGCTGATCTCCAGGGCAGGTTAGTGGAGAAAGGGGTTGTGGCAAACACTGCCTGCAGGTCAGGAAGTAATAGCCTCTAATCACTTCCTTAACTGGATATCCAGCCTAGCAGGACCCAATGGATGCCAACTTCAGAAAGATAAGAGATCACACCAAGAAGGTGCAGTTAGGAGGACTCCAAGCAGATCATGGGGCTTTCCAGTGACCTTAACTGAAATCAGATTTTTTGGCTCTAGTTCAGGATAAGGTGCATAGGGGATTACTTCTTAGTCTAAATGTATAAGTATAGCTAGCTGCCCACGCTGTCCTCAGTAACATAATAACCGAAAAGCAGATGCAACAGATGCTTGCCCATGGCCATGGAAATAGAAGGTCATTCACTTAAGGACAGTGAAAATTAATTGAATGAGGATGACATTTATTCACCTTATTACTGCATGAGTAGCTTGGTGGCAATTTCATTTACTTGTGATACACACATTTGTATCCTGGAGTTATTAAAGTTAATGGCAGATCTAGAACCACCTTTGAGTGACAATGTCTGCTCAGAAAAAGTTAGCTACAGGAAAGCTTCATTTTCCAAACTTTAAAAAAAGGGTAAAACCGTATTCTAAAAGTGCTCCTGATTCAGACCTGATAATGTCATTTCTAAGAAATAACAAAGGCAGAGAAATGTAAAACTGTACCTAAATCTTATTAAGAGGATTCGTTTTCCCACCTACTCACAGGGGAGTCATAGATAAAGACTGAATGTACTTTGAGTGGTTCTGAGATGGACTCACTACAAACCACAGGAGTAGTCCCAGATGTACTGCCACCCAGGCACCTAGCCCTCGAAAGAGCCAGCTGGGTAGCTGCAGCCTGGATGACAAATGTTTCTGGGACACGGAGCTCTCTCCTGCCCCCTCCAAAACTGACAAGCATTCTCCCTACCTAAGTCTGTGCTTGGGGCTGACAAGGAGGAGCTGCATTTTTTCACTAAATTGAATATAGTTGTGAAGCCATTGCATACTTGTACATGTTAATGTAATTAAAGGAGAACAGGCTTAGGATGTAGGCTGACGTACGTTCCAGTCAAAGCCTGGACAAGCAATTTCCATATCCAAGTCCTCAGCAAATCCCATTGGCGTTTCCATCTAAATCCATCCAGAATCCAACTTCTCTGCTCGACCACCCTCACTCTGGTCCAAGCTCCCGTCCTCTGTTGCTTGGATTATTTCAATCACCTCCTGATTGGTCTCCCTGCCACAGCCCCCACCTCTCTGAAGGTAATGCTCTGTACTGTAGCCAGTAGGGCATTGTAAAAACCTAAGCCAGCTCCTGTCACTCCTCTTCTCAAAACCTCCAATAAGCAGACATGTAAGCTTCTGGAAAGCAAGGATTTATGCATTTAATTCATTGTAACAGTCCCCAGTTCCCAAATTGTTGGGCACACATTAACTAGGAACTGAAGGAATAAATGAATGCAAAACTTGGTGTCTTGATTAGAGCATAATTCAAAGCCATTTCCCCAATCTCATCTCCTTAAATTCTTCTACTATCTCATTCCCAAGCAAGGAGTTTTATTTGAAAAAGGCTGACAGATCTGGTGAATCTTGCTATCATTAGGCACTAGCTGTATAACCACTGGGAAACTGATCATTCAAGTTTGGCCTCTTTATCTGAAAAGTGGAGACAATATTATGGGCCTATATCATAACTCTTTCATGGGTAGCAGAGAGGATTAAATGAGATTTGTCAATGTATGTGAGACAACATACATTGGTGTATGTAGTCAATGTATGTGAGACAATATACATCAGCGACTGGCATGTAATTGACATCCAATAAGTGAACTAAAAAACTATATAAGGGATATCAGGTGCAGAGCACCCACTTTCACCCCCTCAGAGGAGAGGGGACATCTTGTTTTTCTTTTTTGAGTTGGTGTCTCACTCCATCACCCAGACTGGAGTACAGTGGCATGCTCACGGCTACCCTAGTGTGCACTTGCTGGGCTTCAGTGATGCTTCTATCTCAGCCTTCCAAGTAGCCGGAACAACAGGCACGTGCTACCATGTCCGGCTAAGTTTTTTTTTTTTTTTGAGAAAGGATTTATTGAGAGGACAGAAAAACTCCCACAGTGGGAGGGGACCCAAGGGGTTTGCCCAGTTTTTTTCTTTTTGATTTATGGTAGAGACGAGGTCTCGCCAAGTTGCCTGGGCTGGTCTCAAACCCATGGGCTCAGGCAATTCACTCGTCTCGGCCTCCCAAAGTGCTGGCATTACAGGCTGAGCCACCAAGCCCAGCCAAGAGGAGGCAGCTTAATGCCCAGAGTAGAATCCTTTCAAAGGCCTTGGAATGCCTGGGGAAGGACACTGGAATGTCCACTGCTTGCTCCACAGAGTCAAACCACCTGCTCACATTCGTATCACAAACTTAAACTGTTGTATGAGAAATAAATTGAATCAGGATTGCTAAAGATTATAGTCTTTGGTTTTTCCAAAAGAAATCTGCTCAAAGTCCATTTAAATCATGACATTTTGCTTATAACTGAACAAAATAAAGAATGAGGTACTATCACTGTTTATATTCTGCAACTAAAAGTTCTAAATGTTAAAGTCTATAAAAAAGGGAAACATATATATATTGACATATCTCTGTACTTAATAGCAAAATAGTACCAAATTATTAAAATGATAGAATTCTTTAAATAAGGATAAACAGGCAGCATAGATTATAGAATATTTACTTTTTAAGAGCAAATGCTCTGAACACCCCTATAGATTTGGTTGGTGTACCACCTGAAAGTTATTTTCATATAGGGTTAGTTGCTTTCACTTTTTGCAAGTCAGCTCAAATGGCCAATGATGTCATATTACGGTAATAAAGATGTAGTTGCTTTGAAGTAAGGAATCTTAAGGCCTCTAAACAACAATAGCATGTCTGTCAGTGCACAGCTGGCCCTAAAAAGACTAACAGAGCTTCCTAAGCTCTCGACGGTGTGAAACCCATGAGCATGGAACACTAGCGACTCCTTCGGTAACCAACTGAATCCAAAGTCTCATTCCACTCTGACAATTTGCCCCTAAACCTAAGAGAAATAAATGCATGGGACTTATTCAATAAATAGACCCTAAACCTAGTGCGGAGTTCGGGCCTCTGGGTCACCTAAGTCCACAAAGGATAGCATGGGGAAGAGAAAGGCCTTGGCTGGTGGAGTCTGAATAAGCTGTGTTTCACTCCTGGCTCTGCCTGTGCGATTATATGAGTTACCTCATCTCTCTGAGTCTCAGTTTCTTCATCTCCCAATAAAGAAAATGGTAATTGCCTCACGGGATTGTTAAGAAAATGAAATGAGACAAGACAACTATAAGAAAGGGGACCCCACCAAAAAACCTGGGATTTATTTATTAAAAATTGTGTATTTATTCTTACATGCTTAAACTTCAGTCTCCCTCAAAGTACTCTTCGTTTGATGCAATACACCTACAGAGATGCTTTTTCCACCGCCCACAATTGTTTTTGAACTCATCAGTTGTGATGCCTTCTAGTGCTTCTGCCATTTTTTGTTTCACTTCTTCCATATAAGTAAAATGTTTCCTTTTGAGGAATTTTTTTCTTCCAGGGAAACAAAAAGAAAAAGTTGCTCTGGGCAAGATCAGGTGAATAGGGAGGTTGGAGTATGGGGCTCATGCTGGGTTTTTTTTGGTCAAAAACTGCTGAACCCTCAGCATTGTGTGGACAGGTGTACTCGTAAATCATCCATCAAGAAATGGGCAAAAGTGTTGAAATATTTTTTTTTAAAAAGCCAGGCTTGGTGGCTCAGCCTGTAATCCCAGCACTTTGGGAGGCAGAGGCGAGAGGATTGCATGAGCCCATGGGTTCAAGACCAGCCCAGGCAACTTAGTGAGATCTTGTCTCTACAACAAAATAAAATAAAATAAAATAAAATAAAATAAAATAAAATAAAATAAAAAATTGTCCAGGCATGGTAACACGTGTCTATAGTTCTGGCTACTTGGAAGGGTGACGCAGAAGGATTGATAGAACCCGGCAGGTCAATGTTGGGGGTGGCTGTGATCATGCCACTGTACACCAGCCTGGGCGACAGTGAGACTCCAACTCAAAAAAAAAAAATTCAGTGAAACTGAACACAGCCTCTCACAGCAACGCTAGCTAGTACGGTGATGCCGATGGGTTCCTAAAACACTTATCTTGTGGGTTAAGTCTGTATTACAAGGGGCCTGCCTAATTGTTTTGGAGGGTTCCCCACCTTGTGTATCAAGCACAGTCTCCAGCACATAGGTTTTCAAGAATTGTTTATTAGCTTCTCTCTCCATCACTCTAGACAACCTTCCAGTCTGTGTCAACTGTCACCAGGGAGAACATGTGAGAGAACAAGTCTGAGGGCTGTTCCTCATGCTGCTTCCTTGGGAGTCCAGAACACTTTTGTTTATACAGAATGCATATGCTCAGCCAAGGAAGAACACCTAATCCTACAGGAAAACACAGCCACTTTCAGTATAAAATGTTCCCTCATCCCAACAGAGAGCATATCCAAATCCAAATCAATAG